GCTATTCCCAATTCAGAAGAGCGCACACACAGCCTGTGTCTGTAAATGCCTCTCATCCTCGCTCCTCTCTGACGAGCCGTTCATGCTTGCCGCACTCACGCAGCCTGTCTCGTAATGCTCGTTTATACTCGCACCCGGTTTCGCACCGCAAGTCTTCACAAGTGCATCTGGCAGTATTGATGAGGCTTGACACACGCGTGCAACCTGTGTCGACTCGCGCCTGGCTCCGCGTTTAAAACTAATGTAAATTCAGTCTAACTGCTTGCTAATTTCACTTGGATGAAATGAAACATTCAGCACATTTTCCACTTGCTCTTAAAATCCCAAATACTTAAAATGAATAAATCAATGTAATACTTTAATAATTGACTTAAGAAATACAGTTCTTTATTTATAAAAAATAAACTAATATTTTCTGTGAAATTCAGTAATTAAGTTAATTCTGTAAAAGTAGTTAAACCATTATAATCTTACCTGCTGAAAAAAAAAAAAAAACAATAGAACCCTTCCCAAAACACAATAACAAATGTAATGTATTGTGTAGAGTAGCGCTTATTGTTTGTCATTTCTCTGATCACAAATGCAGACATGGTTTTATGTTTATGCGGCGCGATGCAACACAACACGTAAAAAGACAGTATAAGTCATTATAATCCGTAATTATGTCCCCACTGGATGCAACAAATGCCTCGTTTATAATGGGTTTTAATGTTTATGTCTCGTCGCGCCGGCCGGACACGGCATCAACACAGTATGGTGAGGGGCATAACATTTCTGTCACACGCTTGAGGTATTCGGCCAATCACAACGCACTGGATCACAGCACACCTTGCTTTTCAGACCGATGAGCTTTGTAAAAATCTACGCGTTTCAGAAAGGTGGGGCATAGAGGAGAAATAATAATGTACAGTATGTGGAAAATAATGTGTTTTTTTTTACCTTAAACCGCATAAATACATTGCATTACACCAAATACACAACATAATGTTCTTTTTAGCAACATCATATGACCCCTTTAATATTTCTTAGATATGACATGTTTTTATGCTATCTTAAACCAAGGATTTTGTCATGTCCCCGAGGCACTTCACTGAGTTTGTATTTAGAAAATGTAAAAAAAAAAAAAGTCAATAGTGTCTGTGATTTTCGGCAACAATGTAAGCATTTATTTGTGTTCCTTTTCTTGTAAAAAATTATTTTCTAAAAAAAAAAGCAATATATTTGATCAAAAACAGACTTTAAAGTTATGTCCCTCAGTCTGAACTCAACCCCGTCACACTAACCATTCTACGCCCATAATAATTTAGACTCCACTCATACATGACATAATTTACCAGAAATACATAATTCAGGTCTCTTTAATAGTGGAGCAGAAAATGGTTAGTATTATCATACTGTAGTCAGGGAGGGTACCGTCACGCTTAACAACTCAACCCCGTCGCATAAAATTAAGATGGAAAATTATTACTTTTTCAACATTCGATTTTAATCTGTAAGTATATACAATGTACTTATTTTATTGATGCCATATGTGGTCTACTGTCTTACACTACATGAGGAGCAGTGGCCATTTTGAGTGAAAAACCACAACCCCGTCACTAATATATGTATTTCTCATTGTTATGGGGTTGTAAACTTGTGACGGGGTTGAGTTATTTGCTTCACTTACTAATAATTTTAATGAAAAAAAATAAATAAATAGCCATAGTTTCAGTAAATATATATACTCCCAAATCATGACCTCATATTTTTGTTTTAAATAGAATTTTTGATGTAATACATCCACTTAAATGTTGACAAGCATCATACATCAGAAATTGCACCCACATTTGCAGCAGAAAGACAATGTTGGCCATGCAGATATGTTGACCCAGAAACAAGGGAACAGCATGATAGAGAAACAAAACCAACATTTTAAATTTAAGGCAATGTATCCCTTCAAATGTGTTACAGTCTTCAACCCCGTCACACCATGTCGCATTCATATTTTTAGAAAAATATAGGGAAGACAATTAAGAACAAAAGTGTTTCTTGCTGATTACCATCTGACATGTTAAAGGGATAGCTCACCCAAAAATGAAAATGTGATGTTTATCTGCTTACCCCCAGGGCATCCAAGATGTAGGTGACTTTGTTTCTTCAGTAGAACACAAACGAAGATTTTTAACTCAAACCGTTGCAGTCTGTCAGTCATATAATGGAAGTGGATGGGAATCATGGCTTTGAGAGTAAAAAAAAACATACACAAACAAAACCAAATTAAACCCTGCGGCTCGTGACGATACATTGATGTGTAAAGACACGAAACGATCGGTCTAAGCAAGAAACTGAACAGTATATATATATTTTTTTACCGTTGTCTGAACTGTCCTGAGCGTGTCCTCGACAGCCGGCGTGTGACGCTTCTTCTTGGTTTATGGCAGATCGCAGAATTATAAGTGCATTACCGCCACCTATCTCTCAAATAGACCATTGACACTCTATCTACAATCTCAAATAGGAGTGCCAATAAGTGGTAATGCACTTATAAGTCTGCGATCTGCCGTAAAGCAAGAAGAAGACACCTCACGCACCGGCTGTTGAGGAAGAAACAAAGTCACCTACATCTTGGATGCCCTGGGGGTAAGCAGATAAACATCACATTTTCATTTTTGGGTGAGCTATCCATTTAAGGGCGAAAACAATAACATTGTGGTTTTAGGCAACATTTTAAATAAAAAAAAAAAAATTTAAATAAAGAGACCGTAGACACACACTTTGTGTATTTTTAGCTTCAGTCCTATAAAAATGTGAAAATTGTAATAAATGTTACATTTATTATTTACATTACATAACAAATGTTGTCATTAAATAGTTATCAGGGACACATGAACATGTTTGTTTATATGTTTAATAACAATTTCTGTGTAAAATCCGTTTTAAACCAATCCAATTTTGTCCGTCACAGGGTTGAGAAAAAAAACTGAAAGGTGTCTAAAGCTGAAAAAAACAACTGAAAAAATAATAAAAGGTCTTTAATCCCTGAGGTGGGAAAATATGATTTTTTTGAAAATTTGATATGTGCCTAATGATGTGGGGTATTTAGAAGTTGACTCATATGTAGCTGAAAAAAAATTATATTCCAAGTTGAAATGTTACTGAATCCCAGGAATGAATTTAAATTGGCATGATTGTAGGTTTGAAACATTTCCTATGAACAAATTTCACAAATACTAGTAGTTTTAAGGCTGTTGAGCTAATTGAAAGAGGTATTAAATTGAATAAATGAAGCATTTATATAGAGCTTTTCTGATTCATGCACAAACAAAACGCTTTACAATCATATCCGGGTGT